TTACAACCTTGAGGTCATTAGTTAGCAAAAATGTGGAGAGAAGTGGCAATATGAATGGATCTGGAGGATGAGTAGCCCCCTCTTCCTGCTCTACTACAATCTAGTGGGGTCATGAGAAATCTATAAAAACAGCGACTAGGTTTATCATGGGGAATATTGTTGAAACTATATTTGTCAGGGTACTTTTCAGCACCTGCGAGTTGTAGAAAATACAACTCAACTAAAAAACAGAACTTAATTAGCCGATGGTACTGAAAAGCCAGTGGTAGGATGACCTGCAGGTATAGCTTGATCCAGCAGCTCATATGTGCTCTGTTTTGCAGTCTTGGTATTAGCCCCATTCTCAGTCAGACTCTCCTGTGTTCCTAAGATGGTTGCAAGAAGTTTCTGGGATTCCATGTTTCTAGATTCAAATGCAGTAGAAAACAAAAATGTACTTTCTTAGTTACTCAAAAAAGTACTGGAATGGAGTCAATTGGCCTGCTTTGGGTTATCTGCCCATTTCCTAATCAACAACTGTGGCCAGTGGTGCACACCGTCTGGAAGATGGACACGCTTGAAGCTCTGACTCGGGTGGGGCAAGGACAATATACATAACCTAAACATTTGTACCCCCCATAATATGCTGAAATAATAATAATAATAATAATAAACAATTGTGGCCAGAAGGATGGGACGTGCTGATTGGCTTAAGCCAATTGGCACCTGTCTCTGAAGCTGAGGGTGGGTCACTTCCTCCCAAAGCCCCAGCTTGGGAAATTCAGAGCCCCATTAGAAACGAAGCTGGGGGGTCTCTGACATCCCCCTTCCAGCCATCACCACGGTCCCCTTGTGAGGACAAACAGCTTGGCTCTTTCTGAGCAATGGGCTTGTCTGTACCTTTGGACACCATGACTCATATGTGTGTATATCTGTGTATGTGGTGGGGGAGTGGGTTTAATAATAAAGAAATTAAGAATAAGAGAAAAATGAATATCAAATAGGATAATGCCTGAGAGAATTAGCACACAGAAATTAATGTCACAAGGTTATACTTTGAACCTCTCTGAGCCTCAGTTTTCTTATCTATAAAATGGGAACACTAAATGCCAGTAACATGAAATTAGATGAGAGGAGGTTTGTGAAAGTCTGTGTAAATAGTAAGGGGTGGACATTCAGTTATTCAACAATCATTTATTTAGTGCCAGGCCCCATTTTCCAAGCACAAGGAGTTATTGCTGTTATTATTAAAAGAGGCTAATGCCAAAGGGGCCTTCCCAACCAGTCATGCATGGTGCTATGGTTTAGACATTTGTCCCCCAAGCCTGATGTTGACATTTGATCCCAGTGTTGGAGGTGGGGTCTGATGGGAGGGGTTGGAGTCATGGGGGGTGGGATTCTTGTGAATAGATTAATGGCTTCCCTCTGGGGTGAGTGAGTTCTCACTCTACCAGTTCCCTCTAGAGCTGCTTGTTAAAAAGAACCTTGTACCCCACCCCCTTGCTTCCTCTCTTGCCATGTGATCTCTGCACACGCCAGCTCCCCTCCACCTTCCAGAATGGTGAGCCAAGTAAATCTTTCTTTATAAATTACCCAGTCTCAGGTCTTCCTTTATAGCAACACAAAACGGACTAGGACAGATGTGCTTTGGGCCACACAGTAGTGGAGCCGGACTTGAATCCAGAATCTCTCGTTTCTCTGCACTGCCTCCCTCAGCCTCCCCCCTCCCTGCACGCTCGCTACTTCCTGGTTAATGGGCCACACTTCCCTCTGTTGCACTTAGAAATCGCGTTTGATGTCGCTCTTCCTGGCTTCGGGAGCGGACAGGCCCGTCCCAAATTACCGCTGGTAATTGAGGTGGAGAATTAATCATGGCTTTGTGGTTCTACTTTCCCCGCCGGCAGCTCTGCACTGCCACCCAGAGAGGCAGGCACAGTGTGAGTGCCAGGTAATGATTTTCGTGTTTTGGGATGAAGCCACTGGAAGGAGGTCGGGCCAACTCTGCTCCGGGTGTACGCACGCCTGGTGCATACGCACATCTGGGCACGCTGGGTGTGTTTTGGGGGGTGGGATGTGGTGTTGGCACTATCACTGGACAGGGTCAGGGCACTCCCCAGAGGAGAGCTGGGTCTAGACATTGCTCTACTGTTCCCTAGCTAGGTCACTAAGGCCAAATTGTCTCTTCCCTCTTGGCCTCAGTTTCCTTCCCTGTAAACAGGAGTAATCCTCGCCCCATCCCTTGTCTTCCTTGTGAGATGTCTGTGCACATCAAGACCAAGACCAAGAGGAAGAAACTGAAAAGGGCTGGACACCCCACAGATGCAGAATGGCCTCTAGATTAGGGTACAGCCTGCCCTGTTCAAGTCCCAGCTCCCCTGTGCACTACCTGCATGACCTTAACCTTACCTCTCCGGGACTCAGTTTCCTTATGTGCAAAGTGGGGAGAATATTAGAAGCTACCAAAGTTTATTGCATATAAGCTTCCATCCATTGTCAGATACCAATATCTTATGTACCGTAAAGAAAAAAAGGCCCCTCATTGGCATTGCCCCGAATTCTCCGGTCTCAGATGGGTGCAGAGCTGCTCCAACTTGCAAGGAAGGTGTGCAGTGGCACTTTGGGATCATGACAAGGTGGCCCTGGGCCAAGGCAGCTGAGACCCCACAGCCGGGAACTAGGCAGATTCCTTAAAGCATGGGTCACAGCCCCCTGCCACGATGTCTATCTCTGACTCTGCCTGAATGCCGGAGAGCTCCAGCTCCGGTCAGTGCAATTGCAAGCTATATTTAAGTCATTAACTAAACTTAAATGCTACCAGGAAAGAAGGAAGGGGTGGGGAGCAGGAAGGAAAAAACCCTAAATCAATGCAACCTACCCTGATTTTCTCAAAGACAAACACATCCTAATTGCCTAAAATTATCTGAAATGACCGAGGTTGCTCACTGGCCGGTTTGAGTCTCCACCACCAGGAAACAAGGAGCTTGAGGCAGAGTCTACATTTGGTTGCAGACAAATAAAATTGTGTTTCTTGCATAGCTGAGTTTGCACAGCTGAAATCCACACTCTGGCACATGCAAATACACGTGCCCCCGTACATGTGCATTCATGTATGTATCCATATACAACACGCCTAGAGAAGAGAGTCAAAACAGAGATGTCGAATGTTAACAGGCTTCCTTCGATAGGGCTACCCTGGTTTGTCCCAGCTGGCCCACAGGTTTGGCTGCTGTCCCAAAGGCCAGAAAAGCAGTGGCTTTAACAAGCGAGGAGAGGAAAGGACATGAAGGCATGCAGCTAGCACTGCTGAGGGAGCTGACTGACATGTGGGGACCCAGGCTCCTTCTGTCTCTTTGCTCCGCACTTCTACCCCATGACCTAATCCAAGCCCCTCTGTCACATCTGCATTCCAGCTAATGAGCAGGCGGGAAGGGGGAAGGGAAACCATGTTTCTTTTTTTCTTTGTTTTTAAGGAATATGATTGCAAAGCTGTGCTCCTCCCTTCCTCTCACATGGCTTGGATGTATCCGGCCGCACGGTCAGCAGCTGCATGGGATGCTGGAGAACGGAGTTTGGGCGCCCACGTGCCACAGTGCCGGATAGCCGCGGAGGACATCCCGGCCCTGGCGCCGCCCGTGGGCTTGGCCGAGGCCCCTGCTGGGGCCCACCACAGCCCAGCTTCTCTCTGCCCCCAGTCCACTTCCCCGCCCTGCCCCCCGGGTGTTGATCCTGAGAGCAAATACCAAATAACCCCCAGCGTGCAAATGTCCTCGAGTCAGGTCCCCGGGGATCACAACCTAACACGCACTTTAAGTGAGTCCGGCCCATCCATCTGTACAACGGAAGCAATTTTGTTATAAGGGTTGAGCGTGATATTTTAGACGAAACACCCAGCACAGAGCAGGTGCTCAGCAAATACCGATGTCAGCAAAGCCTTGCGGAGATGGCGCTGGCTCAGCCAGGCGATGCTCCGAGCCCTGTATGCACGAGCCATCACTCACTCTTCACCACAAGGCTTTGAGGGAGGCACTACTGTTATCCCCACTGTGCAGATGAGGAAACTGAGGCTCGGAGAGGTTAAGTAGTGTGTCCCAGGTACCCAGCTTGTAAGTACTCAGATGCAACGCAGCTGCCTGTCAGCTGCGGGTGAGGATTGGCAGGCCGGAGCCTGGCCAGCGACTCCAGGCAGGGAGCCTGGGCCTTTGTAGACCCCACCGAGAACACACATCCCTGTCACCTCGAGGGTTCTTCCAGGCTCCCATGTGACCATGACTGGAAACGCTTTGTAAGCTGCAGGGCTCAGGGCACCCCTGAGGCGTGGCCATCTCTTGTGATTGTCATGGCACCCATCTGGGCTGCGCCCGCCATGCGCCGGGCCCTGCGTTAAACACTTGGCAAACACATTGTGTCATGTGCTTCCCACCAGCCCACGAGACAGGCGGCTGCCGCTGTGCCTTGCAGGTGAGGCAACAGAGGCCCGGGGGGCTGGGTAAGTTGCCTCAGGTCTCACGGCTGGGGGTGGTGACCTGGGACACACACCCAGGTCAGTGTGAGCCCGGAGGGAGGTCGTCCCTCACCTCGAGGCCTTCAGAAGTTTGTGGCCCTGAAGCAGCCGCTTCTCAGATTCCGTTTTACCGACACAAAAGGAGAGAGGGGGGAGCTTACCGGGGCTGGCCGGTCTCCCGGGGCAGGGGCCCCAGCGTGTTCCCAGGGATGGGGAGACACAGGGCCCTGGAAAGGCCTGCTACCTGGGCGGAGCCACTAGTCTGAGTGGGGAGGCCTGGGGGGGCCTTGGTTTGGTGGGAGAGGCGCAGGCCCTACCTGGGGGGGCACCCCGGCCTAAGGAGGGGGGCGCGGCCCCCGCTGCGAGGGAGTCTGGATGCCGGCAGAGGCCCAGGAGAGAAGAAACCGTGAGGAGGGGCCAAGGAAGGGGAGGGGCTGGAGCAGGGAGTTGGCCAGAGGCCACGGCCAAGGCCAAGCTCTCCTACCTCGCCCCTCCCCCACTTGTAACAAGCCTGTGAGTAACTGCCCGGGGCGGCTGAGCGGCCGGTCACGAGGGCATGATGGGGCCTCATGAGGAAGCCACACAGGCCCCGGTGTGTGGGACCCAGTGACTCAGGAGCTACGCAGTGGGGTTGTGCCCTGGGCCGGCTCCACTGTCCACCTGGGCAGCACCTGCCTTGCTGTGTTGCCTCAGTTTCTCCATCTGCACATGGGAAGCATGGCCTTGGACAGCCTCTGTCCCTGCGTGGCTCCGTCACCTCCGGCCACAGACACAGCAGAAGTCCTCTGGGAAACATAGTCCTGAAGCCCCCACCCAGCTCTGGTTTCTGTCCTGGCCGGCTCCGTTCCGTGACTGCCCCCCAAGAGAGCCCTTCTGAGGCTGTCCTTGCTGCCAAGCCAAAGGTCAGTCCCCGGCAGCACAGCGGCTTCGGCGGCGTGACCTGCACCCTCCCTGGGTCAGGCGGCATGCCATGGCCCCGCTGCTCCTCCCGCTCCTCCGCTCCTCCGACTGGCACCTCCGCACCCCCTCCCCCATATTGGCAGGGTGTAGCGATGGGGACACTCAGCAAGTCTCAGCTGTCCCTCCGTGAGAGCCACTCTCAGGGTGCACGTCCGGCTCATGGGCCTTTCCCTCTGGGGTGTCCCCCGTGCAGTCTGACAGGACAAATTGTCGAGAGGCTCACTGCAAGTCCCCATGCTCTGTTCTGGATGTGCTAAGTTATTTGTCCTTCCCCACCCTCAGGAATTTTAGTGAGGCCTTTGATCCCCCCACCCAAGGGTTTTTTTCTGGCGTCCTACGCCTAGCACCCCTCAGACGCTATGCTCTAAGAGTTGGGGCTGTGTATGTCTTGCACGTTTTCGTACCCCTGCTCTGGGCTCTGGGCCTGGCACATAGTAGGCATTCGATAAATATTTGCAGACTCAATGGGTGATTGGATGGTGGAATAAATGCATCAAGTGTCTTCATCTGCACAGAGGGGACAGTCAGTAGGAGAGGGGAGAAATGCCCAGGGCCAGGCACACAGTTGGGACCTAGTGCATGTCCACTTCGATTGTGACTTCCTGGCTGCAACTGGCAGGGCAGAGTGACGTGAGCTGCCCCTGTTGCCCTACTGGGCAATTTTGGGCTTCAACAGATTTCTGCCTATGGCCTTTTGGATGAGTCCAGGTCAGCAAACTGTCAGAGGAGCTGAGAACCTCTGAAACCTCAGCCCTTGGTCCCCTAGGACTTGTGGGGCCATCCAGACCCCAGTGTTGTTGTCGGCCGGTGTCCAGAGCAGTGGCTGGGTGGTCAGCCAGTGGCCTTTCGGAAGACCCGTCTGGAAGAACGAAGCCAAGGCAGGACTTCACGCTGAGCAAGACTCTCAGGCTGGAGCAGTCTCTGGGTCAGTCCCTGGGTTTCTAGGGACCCTGGAAATCCCTTCACCTCCCTGAGCCTCAATTTCCTCAAGCTGCAAAATGACTCTGAGGACTAAGTGAGGCAGTGCCCGTTGGAGCCCAGAGCACAACCTCATGTGGCCATGCTACTGGGCACAGTATGGGACATCCAGAAAACAGCACCCACCTTGTACACTTTGTTATCGGATATGGGCTTGGCCCTTAAGGAGCTCACATGCCAGCTGGGGAGACAGGACCAGGGAGAGGAGAGCTGGGAGCCCACAGTGTCCCCAAGATGTGGATCCTAAGTGATGTGAAGCCACGAAGAACTGAGATAGAAGCCCATCTGAGTTAGGGTGATCAGGAAGGGCTTCCTGGAGGAGAGGGCCCCTGAGGTGAGCCCAGGGAGAGGAACAGGCTTTGCATAGTGGGAGAACAGAGGACATGTGGGCAGGGGAACAAGGGGCAGGGGCATGGTGGTGGGACAGAATCCGTATGCTGAACCTGGGTGTGGTGTTACGGGGTGGGAGTGGGTTGCCCTGAAGATTGCCAAGGACAATTTGGGGTGTAACAGAAATGGGCTGGGAGGCAGGTGGAAGTTGCCAAGTAGGCCTGGTTTAAGGAAGGTTTATCTGTTTAGCACCTGGCGGGTCTTATGGGGTGGGGAACCTGCAGCCTTCAGGCCACACGTGGACTTCTAGGTCCTTAAGTGTGGCCTTTTGACTGAATCCAAATGTTACAGAACAAATTTGCACTTAAGGACCTAGAGGGCCACATGTCACCTTAAGACGAGGGGGCTACAGCCTCCCATGGCCTTCAGGACAGCCAAGCCCCTCAGCTTGGTCTTTGGGGTCTGACCTCTTGCCACCTTTCCAGCCTGAGTGTCCCCACCTCAACCCTCTAGCCAGCTGAACCTGGTCCTGTTTCCTAAATGTGACTCCGGGCCTGTGCTCCACTGATCCTCCTGCCTGGAATGCCCTTTCCCTCTGCCCACCTGGCAACCCCCTACTAAACCCTTGGCACTTGGCTCAAAGTCACCTCCTCCATGATGCCTCCCTTGATCTGCCAGGGGCATGGACACCTTCCTCCTTCCTGTCTGTCCTGCAGCACCTGCTGTCCACATCTATCACAGCAAGTGCATTCTGCGCTGCTGATGACTGGCTGCGTGACCTCGGACAAGTTATTAAACTTCTCTGGGCCTCAGCTTCTTCAACCGCAAAATAGGGGCAATAATAGTACCTGCCTTGGTTGGGTTAACACTTCCAAAGAATTTAGAAGATTTCCTGGCACTTAGCAAGTAGTGTTACCCATTATTAAAATAATTAGTCTTACCTCATTAGGCTATTATGAGGATTAGATGTCAAGTGCTTTCTATCATGCTTGGAACCTAGTGAACCCTCAAAAAAATGGGCACCATTATCTCCACCACCATCCCTACCATCATCCCCACCATCGTCCGTACCACCATCTCCACTATCCCTACCATCCCCACCATCATCTTCTACCACCATCCTCCCCATCTCCACCATCCCCACCATCCCCACAACCATCCCCACTGTCCCCACCATCCCCCCATCATCCCCACCACCATCCCTACTATCCCCACCATTCCCACTATCATCCCCACCACCATCCCTACTATCCCCACCATCCCCCCATCGGCGATGGTGGGGATAGTAAGGGAGGTGTTAGGTGATGATGGTGGGGAGGTGGGATAGTAGGGAATGGTTTGGGGTGATAGTAGGAGGATGAGGGGAGAGAGGGATGAGTGAGTGGCGGGGATGAATGGGGAGGGATGCTGGGAAAGTAGAGATGGAGGGGGGGAGATGATAGGGGATGATGGGGATATAGTAGGGAATAGGTGGTAGAGAGAATGGGGATGGTAGGGATATGTGAAGAGATGGTGGTGGGGATGATAGGGAGGGGAGAGTAGTGGGGATAGAGGGATCGGTGGTGGGGGATTGAGTGGGGGGATGGTGGGGTAGTAGGGATGGCTCGTAGGGATGTAAGTTAGGCGAGGGATAGGCTGGGATATAGTATGGAGGATGGAGTGATGGGTGATTGATGGGGGGATGGGGGTATGAAAGTAAGAAGGATGGGAGTGGGAGGATGATGGGAGGAATGGTGGGGAGATAGATAGAGGATGGTGGTGGAGGGATGATGGGGGATGCTTGGGAATAGTAAGATAGAGCGATGGTTGACGGTGAGAGGTAATGAAGGTAGGAACATGAGATGAGGAGATAGTAAGGAAAGTAGATGGTAAGGATGAATGGGAGGGATGGTGGGAGATAGTAGGATGGTGGATAGGGTATGATTTGGGAGTATGGATGTGGACTAGTAAGGGATGGTGAGGAGGGATGATGGGTGGGGATGGTGGGAGACGTAGTGAGGGTGGGTGATGTAAAGGCTGGGTGGTGCAGGAATACGTAAGGAAACGGGATGAGTGAGATGGGGGGGTATGGACGAGGAGAATAAAGTAGGGAGAACAATGAGTAAGAGGATGGGAGGGATGTACTACGAAGGAGGACTCAAGATAAAGAAAGGTGGTGATAAAGGCATAATGAAATGGGGGATGCTGGGAAGATGGGACTGCGTGTGATGGTGAGAGGGGGGGATGGTCGATTGAGGAATGAATGGTGATGAGGGATTCGTGGGAAAGAGTGGGAAAATGGTGGTAGAGAGTAATAGATGGGGAGTGAGTCATTAACTGAATAAGAGAGAGAAGCAGAGAAAGAGATATGAGAGAGCGATGGTGAGGGGAGAGATAGGGGTAGAGCGATCAGTAATAGAGTGATAGAAACAACTGGATAGTGTGAAAATAGAGTAGGGGAAGTCGTGGGATTAGAATCGGTTAAGGGAACTGTTGGGATGATGGTGGGAGGGAGGGATAGATGAGGAATGGCGTTGAGGGAGAGAGAAATGAATGGGTCGGAGACATGTCCCGGGGATAGTAAGTGGCATGGTGGGGGCGGAGATCGTGTGGAAGATACAAGGTTGAGGAGGATAGTAGGTAAGGAATGATGAGTGGGAAATATGATGTCGGAGGCGAATGCAGGTAGGGGATTAGTAAGGCGATGGTGGTGGGGTATGATGAGATGGGGATGGATGGGAACAGTAGGAATGAAATGGAATAAGTAGTAGATGAGGTATAAAGGGCGAAAAAAAATGTGTAGAAATGTGAACATCAACAGTGGGGATGGTTGAAGGGAGTATGGATGGATAACAATGAGAGAAAATGGAGCGAAGAGGGGAAAGGACAAAGTAAATAAGAGATGAGGGGGGTTAAGAGAGTATGGAAGCACAAATATAATAAGAGGATTACGAATTATGGAGGTAAGGAAAGAAAAAAAAGACCGATGGTGGGTAAGAATCCTGGTGGACGGTAAGGTGCCCAGTTTTTAAAATTTAGAAGGGTCGATGGTTCCAAGTCTACAGTAAAGAAGAAGCGCCTCATTAGAACGTCGAAATACCTCAAATGCCTAAATGAAGGACGAAAGAGACCAATTTTTGTGGGAGTTAATCATCACTAAATAAAATGTCTCAAGCGCAGTGACAAATATCTACTAATTAACACCTTTGGAAAGTGAATTAACCCCAAATCCAAGAAATAGGCAAAAGAGAATAATATTATTGCCGCCTATTTTGCCGATGAAGGAAGCTGAGGCAAACCAGAAGGAGAGTTTAATAATTGTTCCTGATGGTCTAACATTGAAATATAAACAAGAATACAGAAAAATAAGCGCAAACAGGGTAGGGACTAAGCAGCTCCTAAAAGAAATCCATCAGCAGAACAGGTAACAATATAGAAAAAAGTTACGAATCTATGGTAAAAGACATGCTCAAAAAAGATTAATTAAAAAAATTAAGGCAATAACTAAATAATGCCCATACGTATCTAAGAATGAGAATATAA